CTCTTAATAAATTCTGTCTTTTTGTTATCTCTCCTAAACCTTGTTATGTTTTTTTTTCCCCTTTTTTATCAGCAATTATGCGAAGGAAAAATCAAATTTAATCTCTAGCCGATATCAAATATTTAATATTAGTCCATCAATGAATATATTCATATTTTTACGTATCAGAAAGTTTTTTTTTATTAATAATACCAACGGGAATAATGATTATTGGACTGAATTAACTTAGGAAACAGGCTATGTATGAATTTCTGAAATGTAGTAAATTCTTATAGATTTTTGATTTGATTTCTTTTGATCGAATAAGGAAGAACGTAGCTATATGACAAATATTAAACGTTTCTAGTATTTATTGCCCATAGCAAAATTAGTAACATATTTTTGCGACTAGAATGACTCCTACTTAGAGGCAATGTGAGATTAAATCTCACGTGAAGCTAATTATTTACTTCAGGCTCATGATCATACTTCAGTTTTGGAGAATATTAAAACGACCTCTGTGTTGCAGTAAACAAAAACAGGAATAAAATAAAATGGAATACTAATTAGCCTACCTTTAAGAATGATTAAGAGAAAATTCATGTAAACTAGATTATTGGCATATGAAACGATGAAGTTTTATCGGTAAGTGCATTTAATCGGGTTTCGAAATGCAATATTTTTTCTAAGATGAAATATTGATAATTATTAACATATATTTCTTCCGTCTCTAATCTGCGTTGACGATTTTTATGAAATTTAAGATCTCTATTCTATGCCCAACGAAGAATATTGCTTTGTAGTTGAGTTCAGAGGAAAAATATGGAGCATTGGTGTATGGCTTCTTAGAAAAGATACCATTCCGAAAATCAGTCTATGCATAAAATGGGGTTTGGTTTGGTTTGGTTTGGTTTATAGCATATTAACGTCAATGGATTATTTAATGCCGACAAGGTTTTTATTGCTGGAAATATTTTCTTTCCAAAAAATATATTGCTGCTATTTTTTTTTTCAAAAATGTATTGCTGGTAATATTTTTCCCCCTCAAAAAAATATTGCTGCTAGTAATCTTTTACAAACATGTATTGCTGGTATTAAAACCTATTTTTACATTTTCATAATGTTTTGACTCCAGTTTGGTGGTCAAATATTTGCCCATAGCTGGGATCCTAACAGGTGCTACCACCTCTTAAACCCTTAAATTTAAACTCACAACTAATTATTTTATGGTTTCAGAATAATTAACGTTTGTATGTTTCTGCGTTTTATATATTTACAACAGTCATCTTATTCAGATAAAAAGTAGGCTTATTTTATAGATAGAATTGATATGGCGGTGATAATATATGTTGTTAATGTACTTTTTTTTATTATAGAAAGAGCCAAAGATTTCCAAGGTATCGGATTCCTCCGACACAGAAAATGATGGCCAGTTCGGCGTTTCCGAGCATACACGTCTGCTAGAGCCGCTGGTGAACCTTGTTGCAAACTCTTGCTCAAATATATATGAGTTTGATCAAGACTCACAGAGCCCACTGCAGTTTATACAGTAACTATACTAAGCTATACTAAAGGATTAGAATATTTGCTTTCTGAGCAAGAGATCCTGTTTCGATTGTCAACATGGTCGATTTGTTAGGTGTTGAGTGAACTGATGTCATCGTCATGTCGAAGTGATTCCAGCCTGTGTCACTGTATGGAAACGCCCAATCACTAAACAACGGAAATATTCCTAAACCTTCGATCATGACATATGCGTTCTCCACCACCACCACCTTAAACAGCAATTACGTTCGGCTCAACATAGTTGTAGCTTAAACCACACTGTGGATATTGAAAAAAAAAACAAAAAAAAACAAAACAAATGTATCTGAGCAGGCGTCTGTAGGAGGGATTGGCTAGCCATCCTAGCAGAAGGGCACCTCGGAAAATGAGTTTGAAATATATATATATATATATATATATATATATATATATATATATATATATATATATATATATATGAATCATTCATACGAAAAACAGATCTAGTTAATGATTTAAATGTTTTGTATGAATGATTCATGTACAGTAAATTGAACTGCACTATATACATGATATATATATATATATGTAAATATATATATATATATGTAAAAATATATATATATATATATATATGTAAACATATATAGATATATATATATGTAAATATATATATATATAAATATATATATATATATATAAATATATATATATATGTAAACATATATATATAAAACATATATATATATATATATATATATATATATATATATATATATATATATATATATATATATATATATATATATATATATATAAATATATATATATATATATATATATATATATATATATATATATATATATAAATATATATATATATATATATATATATATATATATATATATATGTAAAACATATATATATATATATGTATATATATATATATATATATATATATATATGTAAACATATATATATGTAAAATATATATATATATATATATATATATATATATATATTGATAGATAGATAGATAGATAGATAGATAGATATGCTGGGAGATTCAAAAGTAGGGATACAATAATTAAAAAAAATTACAAAATTATTGTATTGTTTATATAAACGTATCAATATTAAATATTATCAATACTTCAAAAGCTCAAAGGCATTCCTGCCATCATTCACACACCGCTCTTTACCTGGAAAACATTGGTATTTATTAAGAAATGAAAATTATAATAAATGTATTATAATTAAAAAAAAATATGAGAATAAAAATATAAAAAAATATTTTAATATATTGATACTTACTGTATACCTATATTCCATATATTTTCGGCATTTAATCTCCTTCGATGTACTCGCCATTTTCTAGTGTCATTTCCACTGATAGAAGCATTCCTGGAACTCTACGGGCATCTGTCTAGTCGAACCTTTTTGGGGATTTCCTTGGCGTTTTGATATCTTGTCACTTTTAAGTGGGATCATATTTTTGAACAAGTAAAAGTAGCAAGGAACAAGATCTGGGGAATATGGTGGTTGTCAAACCTGTGGAACGTTTTTCTTCTTCGATAACTGCTGCACCAGCCATAATAACTGATGGAAACTCTATGGTGTGGTGAAACGACTACACTCTACACATTTTCCTTCCAAGCATTGCTATAAACAACGGATGGGATGTGAGCATGAACGCTATAACTGAGAGGGCATGCGCGACAGAGTTCAAGGTCAACCTGTGTCAAGTGGCTTCCCTCTGCCTACTTCCGTTACGTTACCATATCAACAGACGCGATACTTTTTGATCACACTTCATCTATATATTTTCGACAGAGAAAATTACTTACAAGTGAGATATCTTGATAAAAGAAGGTTTCTTGTTAAAATTAACGATAAGGAACATCATTTCGCTATCTGATCAGGAGATAAAAGGAAAAGAAACGTTGTGATAGAAAAATTAATATTAAATGAAGACATGAAAAGTGGGAAGTAAAGTGGAGAAATACCAAAGAATATGAACACAAACAAAGTAAGAGAGGCGAAAACAAAAGTTCAGATGTAAAAGAGAACAACTAAAAAGAAAAACAAGGTAATCGTAAGGAAAAAAAGAAAATAAAAAAAGAAGAAAATTATCAATAAATAAAGGAAAAGCAAACCAACATCAAATAGGTGAGATAAAAGTAAAGGTTTACATAAGTTCAAGCAATAGAAATGAATGAACGCAATCATTACACTAGAAACCAGAGGCAGGAGAAATATTTTTTGGAAGCTTCTTTTTTTTTTTTTTTTTTGCTGGTTTTCGAATAAATTATTCTTACTTTTTTTTTTATTTCTTTTAAGACGTTTTTTTTTTTTGGAAATAATTTAATTTATTTCTTTTGATATAAAATAATAAAAAAAAAACACCCGTTCCAACATTGAATGACATAAAATGAAGCTGCCAGGGAGAGAATAGCGAAAAAGAAATTAAAACTTGTAAAATATTAAGAAAAAAATATGACATTTCTGTAAAAAGTATTTGTCTACACTTATATGTACTCGGGCATGCATACCATAAATAAGGCATCGGATGGCTGGTTGACTGGTTGGCTATCTATCTATCTATGTATCGCATGCTATTTTGTTTGTTTCTTACTTTATTTTTATCTATCTATCCCATTCTGCTATCTATTTAAATATCTATCTATGGCTTACGGCCATATCACATTGAAACACGGGTTCTCGTACGATCAGCGAAGTTAAGCAAAGTCAAGCCTGGTCAGTATCTCGATGGGTAATAACTTGGTAATATCAGGTTGGATTAATGGATAATGGCAGCGAAATGTCGGTAGATTCTCTTACGCACAAATACATTTGAGACACGTATGAAACTACTTTTTTTCCCTAACTCTGGGTTAATTAGTAAGACTTGTATTGCTAAATCATTAGTACAAAGAAAAATATTTTCACAATCTAAAAATATTTTATGGTTTTAAAAAACCTGGAAAGAGTTGATATCGTAGAATATCTATCTATCTATTTATCTATTTGGGCAACCGCTTGTGAATACCCGGATTATAAGCTTGGATAACGGCTCAGAATGAGAAATTGGAAGTTCGAATTCTAGCCGTATTCATTGCATTCAATTATTCGGAAATAACCTTGGGGCAGGTATAAATTCATCTTTTCTCCAACATGCAATCCGTTTTATTTATTAGAAAAAGAATACAACATTTGCTACCGGACGTTATCAGTGACTGAACGGTCATAGCACGTCGAGTTTAATGACTGTTCCCTATAGGATACAGGTTCGATGCCTATCGGAGAACTCATATTTTCTAAGAAATTTCTCGGATTTTCAGTGCAGTAAATATAATTAATACTTTAATTTAAAAGACAAAGCATTTACTCAAATAAGTGTATCCATAAAAAAGCGTATAAACAGAACATAATTTAAAATATTTGTCGGATTTAATTCTACTGTAGATATGAATGATTGCTATTTTTATTTATTTATTTTATATATATATATATATATATATATATATATATATATATATATATATATATATATATATATATATAGCGATCATCCATATCGATTAAATCCGACATATATTTTAAGAATTTTCTGTTTATACGCTTTTTATGGATAGACTTATTTGAGTAAATACTCTTTCTTTTAATTAAAACTATATATATATATATATATATATATATATATATATATATATATATATATATATATATATATATATATATATATATAAAGTTTGGAGATTCAATTCAGTCACATAATAATTCATTGAGTTTTGAATACGAACCTTCAAGAGAACGTAGAAAACACTGGACGGCCGTTTCTTTTTTTTTAGGACTCATCAACATTTCGAATGCACTACAGAGAATCGAAGACGGACTGTTACCATACAACGCCATCGTCTTATCACCGGTCCAGCGGGTCATGGTCATGAAGAGGAAACTAACTCGACTCACTATAGAGCAGATACTCCTAATTCCGGTGACGATACTCATCCGAGCATATATAACCCACTGGAACCGCCACCAAAAGCAGTGTTTTCTCTCTTCCCCAGTGTTATTACGCATGCGTTGTGTCGTAACGGTCCGCGTTCGATAATCGGTAGTGGATGCACACTACTAATGAGTTTCCAAAAAGAACGAAACGGCCGTTCAGTGCTTTCTGCATTATGTTAAGCTTTCTTATTCTAGACTCAATCAATTATTATGTGAAATCTATATCTATAATTCCCAAAATGTGTGTGTGTGTGTATGTGATCAGATGTTGTTTATGCGCTTCCACAGTTTTCATTCGATTTCGAGGATTTTTTTTTGTTTGATAAATAATGTTTCAGTGCCAGTTTTGAGTGCAACTTGTTGGCGACAATGGCACTCCACTATTTCCTGTCCATTTTAAGTCTCATCAACTTTTTACTATTTACTAAGTGTAAGTTTCATAAAATTTAGTAAAAATAAATATTTTAAATTATCAAAATAATATTACCTATATCTATAATTCTCTAAATGTGTGTGTGTGTCTGATCGGATGTTGTTAATGCGTTTCCACAGATTTCATCCGATTTCGATAATTCTTTTTTTTGTTTGCTAGATAAGTCTTCAGTGCCGATTTTACGCGTTCCTCTTCTTTTGGCCAAACTATCATTCTCTCTTAAGTAAGGTTAACTTTTTCGTTGCATAAAGTCTACTACTACAGTTTTAAGGAGTTGCTTTCATTGTCGTTTATAGCCGTTCCCAATTTAAATATTTTCATTTTCCTGCCAGTTTTCGCATTGCATTCACCGTAGTAATAAGTAAGCTTGCTTTTTTATTACACAACATTTATTTTTCCAAAATTTTCTAAAGGTATTTGAGCTTAGTTATTCCTGTAGCTTTACAACGTTCTATTCCGGTATTTGCCCACGCATTCCATTTGACAATTCATACTTACATAAGACATGCCACCAAAGAAAAGAGCTTGCTTAGGTCGCAAAACCGCTGCCGTCAGGTCCTCCATGCGAATAAGAGATACGTTCAGTTTACCTGTCTCAAAATGCCTCTTATAATACTTAAATCAGAGCAAGTGAATTCGAAGATCAACATAGCCATCGGCTTCCCGGTAGAGCATACCTGAACCCTTCTGTGTGTGAGGCTGAAAATGGTGATCAAAGGACTCAACGGCTGAGGAGAAACGCCTCTTCAACTGCTGCTGTGCGTGAGGCTGAAACAAGATCAAGAACGCGAAAATGGCCCTTTTCAGGGCCACCGACCATTCAAATGGTTAATCCCCCATTTGGGAATGTGCCTCAGTTGTAACCAGTTGTTGTTACTAATATTGATTTTCAGATGTGTTGAATTTAAATTAAACTGTTCCAACTGAGCGGCAAAAATTCCCGGTAATGAAACACCAGGTCGAAGACGGGTTATACTGCTAGTTGGGTATAAATTATTATATTAATATCTAAAGGGAAACGTGGGCGTTTTAATTAATATAGTGATGTTAATGATGTTATTTTTTGGACTTGAAAATAAAAAAAAAATATTTAGAATAAACGCTGTATAAGGGGATGCTTTGTTTGCTTTGGTTCGTTTTTTTTGCATAAAAAAATTATATATATATATATATATATATATATATATATATATATATATATATATATATATATATATATATATATATATATATATATATATATATATATATATATATATATATATATATATATATATATATATATATATATATATATATATATATATATATATATATATATATACACATACATTGTGTTGGTGCTAATAAAATATTGATGTAGAGAATAAGACAGCTATACTTTATATTGATAATAAATATACATTTTTTTCCTCGCTGGTAGCATAACTCTGTTTCAGGCACAATGCAATGCGTTGTCCATGAAACTAAGAGTTGTGCTAGCCATAATTAATGTGTATTTAATATTATTATTAATATATATGTATATATGTGTGTGTGCGTGTGTGTGTGTGTGTGTATGTATACAAAATACACACAATTCGAGCCATGTTGAATTGGTTGATTTTATGACACTATGAGGATATACAAGGTACATTGTTGCAGACCCTGAGTTGAAAGAGGTTAATATTGTTGTGGGAGGGGGGAACCTACTTTCAGTATTTTGTTCCACAAAGCATCAGCTCTTGGGGAGACACTCTCCGAATTAAACTTTCTGCGTCCCACAATACCGCAATATTTTTTTTTTGGGGGGGGAAGTACTTCAGTGGACCTTCCTGTGTTCAGTGTGGCGTATCCTGGCTGTCTGACCTCATCGAACTATCGAATAAAGCTAAACTGATTATGAAAATGGAGATATAGCAGTGATAGGTTTACGGCTTTAAGATTCGAGGGACTTAATATTAATAATAATAATAAAAAACGGACAAAAGTAGTCTCAGCTGTAACATGATTTACAGCTTCGGTTCGCACCCACTCAAAGAGAAAAATGTTCACACAGTCTTCGCATCTATTCATCGTCTCCATGCACAGATACACAGATAACTATTATATTGCATCGTTTCTATAATTAGAAATAAAATCATGCGATAATCCTAAAACATTTGAAATATGAATGCTCCTTTCCTTCTGGAAAATAAAATAAATTCAAACAAAATTAAAATATTTTGCATTTTTGTGATAATTTCTTTCAAGTTTGGAATTCATGAAATGTTTCCAGTGTATTTTTGGAGATACATTGAGTGAAAAACGTATTGCGCCTAAATTCATTTAAACTGGGAAATACGAGTCTAATTTAGGCAACAAAGATATTACCGCTGGGAAATTATTTATAATACAAATGATACAAAATCTACAATCGTCGCATATTTGTAAACAAGGCATTTATATGGATATTTGTATTAGTTCTACTTTACATCCTTTTTTGTTTTCTTAGGAGTTAATTTGAAGGTGTCTGGGTTTTATTCAACTGCTAATTATTTAATTAAATCAAATTAAATAAAATATTTGTAAATTGGTAGAAGATATTTTTAAAATAATAATGTTTTAGTGATGCAAGTATTAGTAATTAACCCATAGTTAGGGGGACATGAATTGGATTCATACTTTTCCCAAGGTTATTTGCAAATAGGACAATATGACGAACCCAACTGAAACTCGAACTCGGCTCTCTGATTAACAATTGTGAGTCATTATTCATTACACCACACGCATATACAATCATGTGGCATCTTGAATGCCCAAGCGATTATCCATCGAAGTACTGGGCAGACACATTTTTGCTTAACTGCGTTGATCGTACGGGAACCGATGTTTCAATTGGGCCGTGTCTGTAAACCAAGCCATGATCGCTCAAATCCTAAAGAGACACGACATATAGAAACGAAATAATGATGAGGTTTTTATTTTCAATCCTTTTGTTTTGGGTAATGTAAAAAGTCTCTTCCTGATGCTAAGTATATGTTTCCTGAAACTGGACGTTGCTCACATATTCGGTCTATGGTATTCTCAGCATCCGTTTGTATAAACATGTTTCTGTTGCTTCAAGTTTCTTCTTCTTCAGGAGATTGTCCAGCATTCTCTACCATAAAGGAGGACAGGTATCACGTAAATGTTCAGTAATCTTTTTTTTTGTTTTCAAATTAATTTTCTGTCTCTTCATACCCAACTTAGTTTTTTGAAATGCATCTTTGGCTAGCCGAATCCGTTTACAAATTGTTGCATTTTTCAGTCTCTCTTATAACTCTCCTATATTTATTTTTTTAGCATTTTGTTTGATTTTGGTATATCCGATTTGTATTTTGCATTTGGGTTCATTCATTTGCTAACAGCAATGCATTTTATCTTTTAGCGGTTTATGTTTAGTCCTTTCCTCTTGCATTAATTCATTACATTCTGTAAGAGCTTTTATAGCTTTCTTTTTGTCTCTGCTAACAACACTGTGTGATCTGCTAATCTTATGTTGTTACGTTATTTGTCCGGATATTTTATTTAGCTATAATGACTGCCGAGATTATAAAGAACACAGCTCATTATCCGGACATTATTTTTCGGGTAAGAATATGTACAAGGAAGCATTCTACGGAAATCTTGAAAAAAAAAATGCCTTCAGCTATGAAAATAAAAAAAAATCACTTCGACATCACCGTAATTTTAGCAAAGCATTGAAATTAAGTCAGCTTGCTCTATCCGAAAAAAATGTCTGATTTAAATATTCGAAAGTAGCAACTGATGCGTCTCTTAGATGTGACTTAGAATGGCTGGTGCCATCTTGCTTTTTGTATTTATTTTTTAATTTAATTTCTTTTCTTTTTGTTGCTGACGTTTTCGCATCTCCTTCCTTCATTTTTCTGTATCTTCTTTTCTCCATTGTTATTAATTATTAAACTTCTCATTTCGGACACATCTCCAATGTGCTTAAGACAACAGAACTAAATCATAATTTAATTCTGTCGTATTTTATTTGTTTTTCTTTTGTTATTTTACAGGTTAATAGGAGTAGATATGCTCACCTATCGTCCGGCCCCACTATATTCCATGATCATTGAACAGGTGTAATGGTTCATCCATTGTTACCTGTTCAGGATATGGTTTACAATTTCTCTCTCTTTCTTCTACCAGGGCCAAAATGGTTTAATTTTCATAAATTTTTGATTAAGGAACTAACCAGCGGAGGTGACTTTCCATTGTGAGGTTACCCAGGTGGCAGTTTACAGGCTTCTGCTTCAAACTGGTCGTTAGGAGTCCTAATTCCTTGGTAGCGATTAGTGAGACTGTTCTGCTCAATAGTCGCATAATATAATAGACTTTGTAATGTCATGTCGCGTATGGGTAGATGCCTCTGCATATATTTCCTATAGGCAAACCTGACGTTGCACTATGCTCTTTTCTCAGCCATGCCCTGGCTAGTTTGTGTTATCATTGAAGACAGTGACAAACACGATGGTCTTCTCTCTCTTTCCTTAAAACAAATCTAATGGAAGACACATCAAAAAGAAATACAACTAAACCATTAAAAAAATAAATAAATAAACGCCTACACCCACAACCTTTCTTTTACTAATAATCGTGCTATCCATTCCAACCATTTCAGCGAGAATCAGGCTTCTCTGCTTGGTTTATTACTTGCCACCTATTCTCGCTCTTTCCGAGCTTCACAACACTGCCGTCTTGGTAATCTGGACCACTGTATGGTAACTATTGATATTTCGTTCCAGTCATTTATTAAACAGGACACTCACCTATCCATAATTTCTCTTTCCATTACCAGCATGCTGTTTGGGACTTACTACGTGATTTACGTCTTGTTGCCTCCTGGACTGAGATCTTAAACCCCCCCCCCAATTGAAAATTGTGACACCGAGGTTTCTTCTTGCGTCAAAATCAGTAAGGATGCTTTCATCCCTTCTCGGAAATACCAGTTGAAACTTTAATCCTCCCCATGTTGCATAACAACATAGCCCGCTATAGCACAGAGGAGCAACTATTCGGCTCTACCAGCATGAAGGCTCTCGTAACAACGGACGCCTATTCGTTTCTGCACGCAATCTAAGCGAGTCCTCAAAGGAGCAAAGTCCCTTTTTGCTGAGTGAATGAGGCATCGTATATCCTCTAACAACTTTTGCTTTCGTGATTACTGGTGTCTCCGTAATAGGAAATTAAATAAGTGTAAGGTCTCTATTACTCAACTCTTCAATTAATTTGAGGTGTTATCATCCTTTGCTGATAAAACTGAATGAGGCATCGTATATCCTCTAACAACTTTTGCTTTCGTGATTACTGGTGTCTCCGTAATAGGAAATTAAATAAGTGTAAGGTCTCTATTACTCAACTCTTCAATTAATTTGAGGTGTTATCATCCTTTGCTGATAAAACTGAATGAGGCATCGTATATCCTCTAACAACTTTTGCTTTCGTGATTACTGGTGTCTCCGTAATAGGAAATTAAATAAGTGTAAGGTCTCTATTACTCAACTCTTCAATTAATTTGAGGTGTTATCATCCTTTGCTGATAAAACTGAATGAGGCATCGTATATCCTCTAACAACTTTTGCTTTCGTGATTACTGGTGTCTCCGTAATAGGAAATTAAATAAGTGTAAGGTCTCTATTACTCAACTCTTCAATTAATTTGAGGTGTTATCATCCTTGCTGATAAAACTGAATGAGGCATCGTATCCTCTAACAACTTTTGCTTTCGTGATTACTGGTGTCTCCGTAATAGGAAATTAAATAAGTGTAAGGTCTCTATTACTCAACTCTTCAATTAATTTGAGGTGTTATCATCCTTTGCTGATAAAACTGAATGCTATGTACGTAAATTCTCCTCGAACTCTACGCTTAACTTATCTGGAGCACCCCTGCCTAGCTTCCCACCTATAATTGAGTGATATGCATATAACCCCTTCCATGACTTCTGCTATCGTCTCTAACCGAGATACCCACAAATCATTTGCATCCGATGGTATCTTGTCATTAAGAAGTATGCTCCCAGGTTGGCTCCTGTTCTCTCTAAACGGCATAGTAAATACTTCACAGCCTCCCGTTTTCCTGTTTGTTGGGTGTCAATATATGTTGGTCCAGTTTTTAAGAAATCTGATCAGCCGTTTAAGTCTCCCAACTATCGGTCTATTAGCCTCGTACATCCTTTTGGGAGTCCCTAATCAATACTCAATTAGTTCATCATTTCTCATCGCAGAGCCTTTTTCTCAGACAAGCAATATTGTTTTCGTTTATCCAGGTCAACTTCTTATGCACTGACGATAAATGTGGAAAGAATCTATAATGTTGCATTGAACATCTCGAAAGCCTTTTTTGAACTGATCAAGCTTTTGCAATCAAATTGGGAAATTAGGGTTATACTGCGGGTACACAGGTCTAGATCCTTTCGTACTTAGGAGTGTGTCCCCTAGGGCACAATACTTGGCCCTATTCTGTCTGTAATATTCATTAATGATCTTCCCAATGACATTAGCTCTTTACGCTGATGGCACAACTATTTACTCCTGCCTCAATA